CGCTTGGAGTCGTTAGGTGCTTGTTTCTATTAAAAATTGTGTGCCATGTTATATTTTTTTTTGTTTGTTAAAAATTGTGTGTCGTTAAAAAGTGATTGTATTGAATCCTGACACTTTCACCTTATAAAATCACTTAGATTTTGACCTATCCTCACTTAACACCACTTGATACTAACCCTCCTCTGGGTGTGTGTCCTCTCCAGGTTAGAGAAGGCTAATGCCCAGATTATTACTAGGAGTCGATCGGGTCAACCACAATCCATAGGTGTTGGTTCTAATCGAGGTACAGGATCGAATTCTGGTATTAGCGATCAACTTGTCAGTGGCAAAGCAACACCTGAAGAGATCAAAGAAAAGATGGAGCAACAATTACGCATGCAAAGAGCCGCTCACCAACAAAAGAGAGCATTAGAAACCCTCAAAAGTCCAGCTAACTCTGCTTCGCCTACGCAACTTCTTAAAGTTGCTAGCTCCGCTCATGGTAAAACTTAATATTTAGTATTTAAACTCGTTTTAAAATTAATTGAAATAGACACGATTTTATTGGGATTCGAGTAATACAGAAACAACAGAATACATTGCGTTTTATCTTAGTCAAATTCGTTACGGAACAACAACGCCATTATTTGGGAAGATCATGTCTATTTAAAACTAATTATAGTCGATTTGAAAACAACTATTCCTTATTATAGACGGCACAGTGAAATTAGTTTCCAAAGTCGCAATACCAGCGAATCCGAACAGTGCAACAAAATCACAATTAACTTCTCTTTTGACGACGCCTACGCAGAACAAGACTTTCATTGGTACCAGACGTATTTATATGGCAAAATGTAAATACTGAGTTAAATATATTATTAAATATTGTGAACTATAATATTAATTTAATAATCATGTATAAATATACATATATATATATTTAACACTTTCTTTTAAATAGCCGCCGATGGTACAACAAAAGTTGTTTCCGGTCCTACAAGCATTTTACCGAAAACACAGTTACAAGGAAACCAACAACAGTCCCTAATTAAAGTTTCTGGCCAAGCAGGTATATTTACAACTCTGATTAGATTTCATTCTAGCAATTTAATTATGATTTCTTCGAATTAATCCATTTATTTTAATGAAACAGCCCCCGTACAACAAATTCAGCAAAAAGTACAGATTCTAAGAGGACCAGATGGGAAATTACAAGTTCGAGGTTTAATGCCTGGTCAACAATTAGTCCAAATGCCTGATGGAAAACTACACGTATTAAATACTGGTCAAACGATTACTACAAGCCTTGCACAAACTGGAACGAGTTCAACTACACAAGTAAAATTACTGAATTTTTACAAATAACCGAGTAAAATATTAAAACAAAGGAATTAATTTACAAAATTGTTCTTAAAGGTGAAAACTGCTACTACGGCAACCACAACTAAAGCAGTCACAACCCCTAATGCCACGCCTAACAAGACTAGTTCGACTAAAGCAGCAACGAATGCAACACAAGTACAAACAACTCAGCAGGCACAAGCACAGTCTCAAACTGTGCAAACCCCGCAACGTTCGGTGACTGCGACCGTGACTATTGCACCTACACCTGCTCAATCAACAAAGAGCGCTCTTGTGGTAGCCAACACCGGACAAATTGTACAGGGTGCACAAGTATGTCTGAACTAATCAAAGAAAGCCTAAGTTTACACTTTAACACTACACAGTCGTCGTCGTCGTCGCCCACCCCCCCCTCCTCCCCTCCCGGTAAATATCGCTTCATTATAATACTAATATATTGTTAATGATATAGGTCCTATCATCTGGCGGTCAAGCTATCAGCGGAAATCAGATAGTAGTCACTAATGCAAACCTAGCTCAACAACTTGCGACGGGTAAAGCTCAATTGACGACAATCGGCGGTCATCAAGTGGTAATCCGTAGTACACCGACGGGCAATCAAATTGTGCATTTAAATTCAGCAAACAGTAGTATCATAGTTAAGAATGCTGTGACACCAACTAAACAACAAGGTTCGTTATTTTATTAGATAAACATCGCGAACCACGTAACTTGCTCACCTTTACATTTTTGTTATTAATTTAAAATAACTTCTTCATTTTTAGTTCCTGCATTGCAAGCTACTCAATCAGCGCCAACAACGGGAGCTCAATCAACTGAAACGTCAAATGTCAACGTTAGCAATGCTTCAACGAATGTAACATCGACTACTACAACGCCAACAACTCAGACTTCAACTGCTCCAGCACCTGGAAGCGTAGAAGCATCTTTGTTAGCTGGTCAACCACCTGGCACCGTTATTAAATGCGTCACTGCTCAAGTTATACAAACCACTCAAGGACCTCGTATAGTTTTACAAGGTCTGCAAGGTGCGGACTTTACGCCACAGCAGCTTGCAATGGTGCAACAGCAAGTTAAACAACAATTGCTTAAAGGTTCGACCCAATAATGTTGTACTCGTATTTAAAATTATTAGTGTATTTATGATTCGTGGAATTTTTCAGCCCAAGCTACGACAGGAAAGCAAGGAGTCCTAGGGCCTACTAAGATATATCTAGCCGTTCAACCCGCGCCAAATAGTCAACAAGCGATTCAAAGTTCACAGACTTCTACAACAGCGAATACTCCTGCTACCCCCGCTTCGAAACAGCAAACCGCGCAACAACCAGTTATATCGCCTCCAGCAGCGACTGGTTCGTATTTATTATACACTTTTTTTAACGATTTAATCTGTATAATTCTAAATTAATTTTATTCTGAATCGAATAGAACCGCAAACGGGAACAGAAAGCATTCCAGAGCTTCCACCTACAACTATGCCAAGTTCTTCTGAGAAACCCAAAGTAGTTGTACAGCAAGTTGGACAACCCGCTGTTCCCTCAGAAGAGGAGTCTCAGAAAACAAACGTGGCTAATGGTCAGCAACCTTTGCAGTCGTTGAAAGAAGGAAACGACTCTTCAGCTAACAAATTTATTTTAACACCTGATTACATCCAACAAAGTTAGTTGCTAATCGGTGCTACTTTGTTTAATATCAATGCGATTTAAAGTAACGCAAGTACGTTTTTCTCTTCTAGTCTTCGCTTAATGTAACGATTATTAAAACTTTTAGCCATTAAAAATGCGCTGAAACAAGAAAATCTGAACCCGGAGATAGAAGAGAAATTGCTTCAGTTGCAACGCTATCAAGAGAAGCAGATGAAAGGCAGCGTTGAGAATTCGATATCCACTAACCAAACTCACGCTACACCCACGATCACGACACCGCGTGTCCCATCTCGTAAAAGACCAGCGCCTTCCAACATTCCAACAACAACTACGCCTACAAGTGCGCAATCGACAACACACGACCAAGATACAGAGTGGGCGGAAACGCCCAGGAAGAAACCCGCGCCAAAGCAAGAAAATCGTGAAACTCCAAAGTAAGTACCTCTTATAACGAATATGTATTACGAAGTAATGTGACACTTTATACGACATCGCTGAATTTGGAACCATTTGTCTTGCGTAGAGTACAAAAGGTTGCTGAGCAGGCGGATAATGAATCGACACCAAAAAATCGAGCAGCAAAGCTGAAAGACAGCCAAGAATTACGGAGAAAACAACAAGTGCATTCGCGAATGCAAGTGTTATTATTCAGACATAAAGAACTACTTAAGAAAGATATTCTTAAAAAGAGAGCATTGCTTGAGAAAGAATTACAGATAGACATTCAGGTATGCTACTTTACGAATCCCATATGATGTTGTGTAGATACACGCTGCGTTATTATATTTATATTGTTTCTTTCTAAACCCTAGAAGGATTTATCGGCGGAGCTAGCCTCGAGAACGAAGGCAGAAAGGCATAAACAAGATGAAGTCAAGGTGGGAAGCGCGAAGCGTAAAGCAAACGCCCAAGTAGCTCAACAAGTTAGTCCTCCTAACAGAGGTGGAAGGCCAAAGAAATATAAGGCACAAGGAAACAGCACCACGCCACCAGGTGCTTCAACTGCAGCTACTCCAAATAGAATTAAGAAGGAGAAGTTGTATTGCCTGTGTAGAACACCTTACGATGAAACAAAGTAAGTATTAGGAAAACTTTCGTAATGTTTCGAGGAACGTTGATGGGGTTATAGTTGCCGTAGATGATAAAATAAATAAAAATAAAAATGTCTATAGAGGCTGTTTTATTTTCTCGTATCAGGTTTTACGTAGGATGTGATCTCTGTAACAATTGGTTTCACGGAGATTGCGTGGGTATTACGGAAGAAATGTGTAAAACGCTTTCGGAGTTTGTTTGTACGGAATGCAGACACGCGAGAGATACGCAAGAATTGTATTGTCTATGTAAACAGCCTTACGACGAATCTCAGTACGTGAACACACTAATTACCGATGCTATCGATTATGCTTAGTTGTTACTTTTTATCGAGATCAGCGTTTTCGTTCCTACAGATTTTATATATGCTGTGACAAATGCCAAGATTGGTTCCATGGTCGCTGTGTGGGTATTCTTCAGTCGGAAGCAGACAATATCGATGAATATGTTTGTCCGAATTGTCAACGAAACTCTTCTGTTAATTTCGCTAATATGAAAAATCTTAACGCGAAAGACCTTGATCTCTTAAAGAAATTAATTAAACAGATACAGGTAAAGGAATTGTATGAAGTTATTTAGAGCGTGTTTTAATTCGATCGTATTAATATTATAAATATTAACGTGTAGGCTCATAAGAGTGCTTGGCCGTTTATGGAGCCAGTGGATCCAAACGAAGCGCCAGACTATTATAAAGTCATAAAGGAACCAATGGGTGAGTGTATTATTAATTTTATGAATATTTTTCGTAAACTTGAAATAGTCCATCCAAGAATATATTATATTTTTATCAATTGCACTTCTAGATTTACAAACGATAGAGTTGAGGATAAATGATAGGTCTTACAAGAAGTTAAGTGAATTCATCGGAGATATGACAAAGATATTTGACAACTGTCGTTATTACAATCCGAAAGAGTCACCCTTCTTTAAATGTGCAGAATCCTTAGAAACTTATTTTGTTCACAAAATTAAGAGCTTGAGAGAAAAGTTTTCTGAAGGAAAGTAAGCAATTAAAAAAAAGTAATACAAAAAAAATAAAGAAGAAAACTGTAACTATAAATAGTGGAAGTGCGAAGCATCAGCAATTTACTTTTGTGCAGTGAAAAAGGATCGATCTGTGCCAGTAGAAAAGAGACATTCAAAATAGCCATAAGTACGTAAGAGTAGGACATGTATGTCCACTATTTATTAGAGTTGTGTGAACAGTTTCATTTGCCTTCGTGAAAGCGAACTTTCTTTAAATTGTGCTCAACAATGGATTTTGAACCGGAACTTATAAAATTTAATTATATCACTGCATGAATGAATTAAATCAACTATTCATAGGATTCTAGTTTTGTATTTCAATTTGAGATAGTAACGATACCATGCGCTTTATCTCAGTAACAACTTTCATTGTTTATGTGTTCATGAAAATAAAATATTCGTCAGTATACTAATCCTTTTTCTTATCGAGCGAGTAAAAGTAAATACAAGATTACTTCTTACCTTATATCTGCGTTATCGAGAAAAACATTTCTTTCGTTTCTCTTTTTAGAACAAACGATAAGTTGTGGTTCAGAATTCCTACATGAGCTTTACTATTTATGTACATTGATGAACTACGTGTAATTATGCATGTTATGAGAATAATTAACAAATATATCAAATCAGTGCCACTGAGCGTCTAGAACGATGAGTTTTTAGTAACCCAATGCGAATCCGTGGAAAATGAAAACAAGTACGTTGGAGAACCATTCGAACGTTACTCATACCCATGCAGTAAAGGAAAGAAAAATGGTCCAATCGCTACACGTCATTATATTTCATCTAATAGAAGAAAAAAAAATTTTCTCTCACGTAGACGTAAGAACTATTTAGCAAGCGCATAATAAATTGTACAAATTTGTTTATTGTGGTCACAAGTAACTATTATTATGTTGTTTTATCACATAAATTTTCTATAAAATTGTTTATAAGTAACACGTACGATCTTAGCTTGTAAGAACTACAGCAGGAACATCTGCTTTGTATATATCCAAGTAGGAAAGTCTATGAGTGAATAGAATATAGAGTTTTGGTTCTGATATGACGCGGATTTTTCGGAGAAAAGTCAGTAAAACGCTGGAAACTGATTTGTATGAAAATATTGTTTATATTTTAGCTATTAAACTACCATTTGTGGAAATTACTAGACTGTGCTGCATTGTACATGTACGAGTATGTTCGGTATCTATAATCATAAAGGATATAAAAAGGGCAATATTATTTCGTGGATATTTATCAATAAATACACAGAAACACACACCCGTATATACATACTCATAAAGAAGCAATACAATTAAAAAATGCTTCTAAAGTTTCACTAGTAAAATACGAGAGTGAAAGTAAATAGTAAATATTTGCGTCAGTCAACGGAAAACTAGAATTTTTTTGAACAAAAACTACACGTAGGTTTATTCTATGAGGGTCTAATGTATTTCCCGTAAGGAAAACAACTAACTTGTTCTCTGATATTGAGAATTGAGAGTCGTGGCTTCGGGTATGTACAATAACTGTATGTTTCACGAGTTTGAGACGTGTCTTGTCGATCGTCTATGATTTGTTTAAGTGAAAGAAAGCAGATCGCTCAAAGCAGGTTGTACATTTTCGCCAGGATAATGCTTGTACAGTATTTTTAATTCAAAGTTCATAAAACCCTGGCACTGATCTGTTTTTTACCTTCGACTTTCAATTATAGTTACAGGATACATAGTTCGTTACTTTGCCCAGGTTTATACACCACATTAGCTTTATTGTAAGCTCGCTCCGAGTGGTCGTACATCGTTATGCGTCTCGTTAAACTAATCGGGGCATTATTTTATTTGTGTGTAATGTACTTTGAAAATTTTCAAAATGCGTCGATCTGTATTATTAAAACGTTATGAATTCATTTCTTATTTCTGCTTGCTTAATTCTTTGCTGCGATCGCTTCTTAAATTCCTAGCAGTTCTGGATATATTCTGTATTTACGATGAATGTATCTACATTTAAAGTTCGTTCAATCGATAGATAGCAAAGAGTTAAGCGAACATTTTAAACAGAATTTTATTTTAGGGTGAAGATGCTCCGACGGATTTACTCTTTGTGATTGCATGTATGTTTTGAATTCTTTTGCATTGCCTCGGAAAGTTTACTGATTCGTATAGATTTTTGAACAAATATTAGTAACTATTTGCGTTAAGATACTTCTACGAGCGAATTAAACATGCCAATTTAAATGTAATGCAACGTACTAACTTTATGTATCGTCCGAGACAAAGGGAAGAAACGAACTATCCCAAAGAGTTAATCCCTCTCACGAGACGCATGTAAACAAATAAAATCAATAAATACTCTTGAAATCGTGAATGCGTTTAAGATAATCTTAGCCGTACTACGATCATTCTGTCGAATTTTCCTTTCTTACGTAGGAGCGATATTTGACAATGTATTGAAGTAAAGTTTCTTCTGTAAAAAAAAAAGAATTGTAGAAACACTTTGAAATGTGTAATAGATATTTAGCCGTGTAAGTTTTTGGCATGCTACTGAAGTGTAAAAACTGGGTGAAGAAATTGCAGCCGTGTAAATTTTACGCTGCTCCATTTCACTCCCCGCTTATTAATCATGTAACAAGGTGTTTATTTCTATTAAGGAAAAAGCAACAAAGTGTGATTACATAACTATATTCATCTAAATCTAATATTACTAGTTTATAATAAATATATTTGTACTAATTTTAATCATAAACTTTGTTGTTTTTATTGCACTATAAATATAAGTTAGAAGAGAGCATAGTATGTTAATTTACCTTTTTTAATTTGTAATTGCTTAAAAAACAATAAACTGCTGTATGACAGTGGCTTCATGAAACTTTAAAAAAGTATATTAATACCGTTCAGTAGTTCATTCTTAATTTCATATTACATACAAAAAAAAATACTGTACTGTATAAATTCATAGTTATAGACACATTTTATTTAAATGTATATTACCTTTCTTTTTATTATTATTTAAATAGACGTAGACTTTATCAATACTTTGAAGTTTAGGCAATACTAATACCTACATTAACAGTTGGTTACTTTCTTCTGTCATGATCAGAAACAAAAGTATGAATATGTCATTCGTATAAATAAATTATATAACTTTTATTATCATTTTTAAACTTTGTTTCAAATGCTTTTCAATTTAGCATGAATTAATTACACGTATACTAAAGTTTTCAAATATAATTGTAATCGTATTTTATAAATTCTCTATAAAAGTGACAATATTTAAAATATATACAAATTTCGTACAATATGTTATGTAAAAGTGTATTGTATTCCGTTCGAAAGAGTCGACCACCTCGTCGTAAGTACAAAGTAAATACATTGAAAGTTATCATCCGAAGATCAATGTACTAGTCCTAGTTTTAACGTGTAATATACGTTTGTCAAATGACATCTGCAGAACTTCACCATCTAGCAAAAGCACCTTTACCTGGGGAACCAGCGAAACCGTACACACTTACAGAAATTCCAGGACCAAGATCAGAAACTCTTCTGAATGAATTTTCTAAAATTCAGGTTCATACTCTTATTGTTTCAATACAAATTTCATTTAAAAATAATACATATCGATATGATACCATTATAAAATATTGCAGCAAGTAGGCTCCATTCAATATTTTGCAGACTATCAAAGATCCGTTGGAAATTATTTAGCAGACATTGATGGAAACGTTTTCTTAGATATGTTTATGCAAATTTCTACTCTTCCTCTTGGATACAATCATCGCTCTATCCTTGGTGCATTGTCGTGTGTAGGAAATCAAGTAAATATAATACAAAATTATTATATTTCTTGTAATTTCCATTATTGTATGTACTTTTAGCGAATAATGGCAAATAGACCAGCATTGGGATTGTTCCCTGGTTTAGAGTGGCCATGCAAACTTCAAGATACGTTACTTCAACCATGTGTAAGACACAGTAAATAATGATAGATTGAAAAGAAATAAAATGTTATGTATACAATGTCATTTAATCAGGTAGCTCCAAAAGGATTACCATGTGTTTTTACAACTTCATGCGGTGCATGTTCAAACGAGCATGCTATACAAGCTGCCTTTATAAAATATGCAGAAAGACGTCGTCGAGGCGGAAGCTTTACAAATGAGGAAAAGAAAAGTGCACCCTTTAATAAACCACCTGGTTGCCCTGAGTTGTCTATACTTTCTTTCGAAGGTATTTTTATCGTTATAAGCGCCTCGACACTGATTAAATTGATCAAATGTGTAAAATTAGGTGGATGTCATGGCAGAACATTTGCTGCATTGGCACTAACACATTGCAAGTATATAATGAAAGTTGACATACCTTCTCTTCCATGGCCGATTGCACCTTTTCCACAATATTTGTACCCCTTAGACCAACACGAAGAACAAAATAAAAAAGAAGATGCACGGTGTTTAGAACAAGTAAATATGATACATGCATGCTTTAAACAATGCTATCGTTATAAGCTCAAAAGTCTATACCAGAATTGTTATTGTAAGGTAGAAGATTTATTAGAAAAATCTGAGAAAACAGCTCCAGTGGCTGGTATTATAGTTGAAGCAATACAATGTGAGGGAGGAGATAGACATGCTTCGCCAGATTTCTTTCACTCTTTACAAGGCCTTGCTAAAAAGGTAAGGTGTTTCAATTTGTATAAAGTAGGTGAGCAATTAATATCTGGAATATTAATATGAATAAATCTTTTGTAGAGATCTATTCCCTTAATAATTGATGAGATACAAACAGGAGGTGGTGCATCCGGACGAATATGGGCACACGAATATTTTGAATTAAATACTCCCCCTGACATTGTTACATTTAGCCACAAAATGCAAGCAAGTGGTTTCTATCACTCCTCTGAATACATGTAGCGTATTATTTACTCAGTTTACATTTGCAGTAGAATATTGTTCTATAAATATTACGGATTGTTGTCCGTCTAGGCCTATGCGTCCATATAGAATTTTTAACACTTGGATGGGTGATCCAAGTAAAATAATACTCTTGGAAGCAGTATTGCAAACTATTGAAGCAGAAGATCTGTTAACTCATGTTTGTCATGTCAGCAATTACTTGCTTTGTCAACTAAACACGTTACAGCATGAATTTCCACAAGTAATAAATTCTGTGCGAGGTAGAGGATTCATCATGGCATTTGATATGGGATGCAAAGATATGAGGAACAAGCTATTACATCAAATACGTTGCAAAGGTAAAGAATCTTCTACAATACGTGTATTATAATATTAATTTAGTATTTAAATATTCAAATATATCAGGTATTCAAGTGGGAGACAGCGGGACAAAATCAATTCAATTGAGACCATGTTTAATATTTGGGGAATACCATGCAGATATCTTTTTGGAAAATCTTCGTGCTTGCTTAAAGGAACTCACAGAAAGTTGATACGTTTATAAACGATATTTTACTTTGTTACTGTCTCGTATTTATTAAATATAATTCTAATAAAAAAGTTTGTGTTTTAATAAAGTGTTAAAATAGTTGTCATCGAGAACTATCGAGAGGTTTAATGCTCCTTAAGATTTATATTTAATTCTAATTTTAAGTAATATACGTTACGAACGTAGAATTTGAATCTCGCGCGGTTACAATCGCATTACCGATCAAGGACCAAAAACATCGTTACACGGGAGATCGATACGAGCATGGCGATAAAGGAACGGCTCCATTCGGCGTGATTGAAAATCCAGAATTACCATGGCTCAAATTTTGCGTTACATAACGGAAAAGTGCATTTCCATCGAAGTGCATTTTTTTCGACGCTTAGTATCATCGTGAGCGACGCTAAGATCGGAACGGAAAATTTGACGTTGAGGCTATACGTGCGACGAGTGAGGGAAAGCAAACTAAAAGAGAACGGGGGTTTGACGTTATACAAACACGACAAACTCAATTGAAGCCTCGACCACGGCACACTGAAGCGTAAACAATCACCATGGCGAAGTACGAAGATATTGCGTAATAGCTAGCCTTATCTAATTATAGCAGCGTAAAAAGTGCACCTCTTAATTCAATGATAATGCTTTGTTTACTATGCCATGCTGCATAGTGAATCGCTATTATACTTGATTTTTACCGGTCACCTTTTTTTCGGCGGCATGTCCCTTTTCAAATCTTTAATTTTTGTCAAAGAGAATGGTGATTTTAAGTTGGTGTGAGTTTATCTATTAATAACTGTAATGTATTTCTTATGTTAAATGACGAATAGGTATTCATTTTTGATAGTACAAACTGTACATTTTTCCGTACTTGTTATTTAAATCATGATTTTAACAGTTTTTTTTATATATAAATATCTATCGTTGTATTAACTGCATCTAGATTGTTTACGGCATTATGTATACACATGCGTATGTTTGTAAATGTAATTAACTAATTTATGTTTACTCATTGCTTCAGTTTTCATACATATTGTATTCCTGTAAAAAACAAGCTTGTATCTGAACTTTTTTGTATTGGTTGAACTAATACATGTTATCTATAGATAAAATATTTTTTATTTTTACTGCATGATAATTGTGGTTTCCTTTGTACATATTCACTGCAACCTATATCATATTAATACTTATTGATGCTGCACATTTTTTGTTAGTATGTAATATCTTTGCGTTTGAGCAATTATGTGTAAATCATGCGAGTAGCAATAAACCATTCTTTTCAAAGTTGTTTAAAAACTTTGATTATTGTATTTATTAGAATAACATGTAGAGCAACTTATTCGTTAAATTTTTATTATCATTTAATTGGTATTTCATTAACTATGTACAAAAGTAGAAAAATCTTACCCAACTCTTTAAACAATGTAACATTACAATAAACACAAATTCTTACACTGAGTGTACTACACTCTATAACGATGCTTTCAAAGGACATGCTCTAAACCGTAATCTTATCTTGCTTATATTGTTATCGGTTACTGGTGCAGCTAATCAGTAATCTACTGTTCTCAATTGTTTACTTAATAGACTCATTTCTATATCAAAGTCAAAGCAAGTAGCAGACATTAATATTATGTTTGTGACTTTATAAAAATGAAAGTTGCTACATTTTTGCAATTGTGCATAGAATACTTTTATAAATTACTTCAGGGTAAGCTAATTTATTTATTATAAAGATATTGAATATATTTTTAAAATCACGCAAATTTCTTTATTATTCGCTTTATTTTTAAATTCCCGACTTATATCTCCATAGATAATTGTAAATTATATGATATTATTCTTATTTTTAGAGAGATGATGATAGTATTTGTTTACGACACTGCAAGGTGTTGTAAAGAAGATGACGATCCTGCAGAAGCAGTTATGTATTTCCATCCAGCATGGGTATCTCTTACCCAAAGGCTAGCTTTGGCAGGTCAATTAATGGCTATTAATCAGTTTCTTACAACCTCGTTTTCTACTCCAAGATCTATCACTTTGCAAGGAGGAAAATTTGTATTAAAAAAGTTTGGACAGTACATTCTTGTGAGTGCTTTATTATCACATTTTACTGTCTTTAATATTGTTCAAAATTTTCGAAGTTTATAATTAATATAAAATACTGTTAAATTAGAAATGTATACAAATTTAATAGCGCATATTTAGTGTGATTGTGTTGTTATCAGTCATAACTACCACATTTATCAGTTCATTCTTAATGAATGAAGCGTAACAGCTTTTTAATTGTTTAATGTGTTACACTTAGCGCGAATTAGCATTCATGGAACATATTTCATTATTTATTGTTTCACAGGCTGTGGGAACTGATAGGAATATTCATGACTGGATTCTAGAGAGACGTGCAAGCACATTAGAATCGTTATTAAAATTTTTTCATTGTGATCTTAATAAAATATTGGAATCGTTTAATTATGACAGAAATAAATTTACAGAAAAACTATATCAAATGTTCGAAACGTATTTGCCAATACTTCAATACAGTGCCAATCTTTTCTCAAACATTCCCATTATCAAACTTCCAAAGGTAAGTAAAGATATTAATTATGTTTTTGTATCTACTGCATTAAAATACCTTTGTTCAACATTAACCAGTTTTATGTTTTCTCCAGACTGCTAGTAACATATTTTTAGAAGCAATTCAGGTTTTACAGTATTGCCAAGAAACTAATGGTGTTATGGGTGGTGCACTCTTCTATAACAACAAGTAAGTTATTTTTATCAATTATGAAGTTCTTTGCACTTCGTGATATTTGAAAATCTGAGTATATTACTTTTTTTGTATTAATGCTTTAGGGTAGTTGCCACTCAACTAAGCGCAGACTTGACTAAACAAATAGTTATAACTGATCCATATAGAATAAAGGTATATTACATCCATGAAATATAAGAGATACTTTAAATTATTTGTATTCCATATAAGAATGTGTAATAATATACATATTTTTAAGGCTCCTGCAGAGAGAATATCAACAGAATTTCATCTACCTATAGGAGTGCAATTATTACGAGTGTACATAGAACAAAAGCAATGTGCAAAACTTGTACAAGAGGCAAACAATGAACGGTACTACGGTTCATACTTAGATACCGTTACAAAGAAGATGTTGCAAAGAAAGGTAAAACGATTTAAAAGCGAACCATAATAATCTCCTACTAATATAACGATAATATTTTTAGAGCATTTCTAAGAATAGTAAGGAACCTCTTTTATCTGGCATGAAACGTGACACGTCTCGTATTTTTACTGTACCTGAAGAAGGAGAATTAGATTCCTCGCAGTACAACGATAACAGTCATTACATACCATCCGTTCCAATCACAGCTTACAGTTCTCCAATTAAACGTAAACAGGAAAGTAAAATAGACCGTCCCAAGTGTATAAATCCTTTAACTCCTAGCGTTTGCTCTACACCCTTAAAAGATATAAACAGAGTTTTACACGGCAATCCAATGTTAATTTGTAACACAAACGAGGATGGAAGTGTCGAAACAGAACTTGAAGAAAAGAAAGAAATAAAGGCAAACGTAGACGATATTCCAGACGTCGTTAAGGAAGCGCTTAGATGTAAACGTTTGAATAAACTGAGGAACATTGTACCGAAGAAGAAGGTAGTTAAGAGAAGAGAGTTCAATAAAAAAAGCTTGAGCATGCACGATTTAGAATCGACCACGAATTTCTATTCCAGTCGAATATCGGTTAGAACCTACGGATTAGGTCTACCGCAGTTGAAGACAAACGTATCTCCCGAATCTTCTCCGCAAAAAAAGCCAACATATAAAAAACAATTCCATACAATTACTGATCCTAGTTATCCTGTATTTCGATACGACGGACTGCCAGTATCTAAATCGTTGTACGAGCAATATATATCTTCCCATTACGAAGAGCTTACGGATGATAGCAGTAACACAATTAATCGTAACGACGTCTTAGCGAGCTTGACGAACAATTGTAATTCCAATAATGAAACGAACAATTGCGATACCACGAGCAAAGATAACTTCGAGAAAGTGAATAATTCACGTGACGTAAAATTGGATAACAAAACGAAGCAAGAAACTTATCGCAGATCGATGAGTTTACCTTTAAAACCACTCAATATTACTGACAACGACGATAGACGTAAATCGACATCGGAATGCGGCAACACGTATGACTTTCTTCAAAAGAAGAAATTAGATGGTTTGCAATTAACACCCCTCATGTCCAAACTTAGTCTACTCGCAGACGAAAGAACCAGCGGTTTTTGTAGCAGAGAAACTACTCCTAGCGAATTTCGCGATTTGTCAGGCTTTTCGACAGCGACAAATCAAATGATCAAACAAAAATTAGACGCGGCGAACAAAGAAATTGGTAGCGACGCTGAGGATGAACTCGAAGAGTATTGGGTAACTACCTGCAAAGATGAAGTTTGTCTTGAAAAAACGGAATTATTTCTATGCGGACATCAAAATATGGTGCTGGTATTGCTCATGGAAGACGGAACTGCTAACAATCCTGATCTTATACACTCTCTTGTGAGTTCGTCTTACATTCGTTTAAAGTAAATGTTTTAATTCAATTTTTATTTATTGATATATATTACAGTGGCACACCTGTGTGAGTGCATTGGGAAAGCTTGAAACAAGGCTGCAGCAGTGTCTGGAGCCACTACCATCGAACGAAAACAAAGAATTGTATAGTATTTTAACTGTCGATCCGCAATGGGATACAATAAACCGTTCCGGACTCTGGGGTGTCACCGAACTGGATATTGTTTCTTGCCTTCACGATAGATTCACGCATGCTAGCAATCTCACGGACATCATTGTCAGGTAATTCTTTAGATATTAGAAAACTTATTTGGATTAGTTTAATTTTGCATACATCAGCTTTAAATTGCTTTAGTAGAATCTATACTACTGGATACGTGTATACATTCGTATAGTCTTTGTAACTTTAAAAACTGTTCATCAAAATACATTTATCCAGTCTTCTACTTATATCTTCTTGCTCAATTAAGATAATACTTTTGCATTAAATATTACAGTCTTCAGAGCGAAAAGATGTAATATAGAACGATTTAAACGCATACTTTTCTGTACTATAAATTCTGTATTCGAATTTCTGACTGATAATTTCTTTGTAAAATTTTAATTTCAACAAACAATGTTTATAGTAATTTTTTCGTAAAGCGTGGTAAAAAAATGAGTATGTTTTATTAATTAAATAGAACAGAGGATACTGTTGTTTATGGTAACCAGTGTGGAAACATAGAGGTATTTTATCAACAAGCAGTGGCACCAGATACCTCTGGAGGACTTCCAACTCCTGCAGATTTAATGGGAATTGTATCTCTTAAAGCAAAACGTAGACTGGAAAGAGATCATGGGATTGTATTGTTATAAATGACAATTATCCGCAAATGCTTCCACTACCATATTGATCGCAATTGGATTGTTTAATTTTTGTTTATTATATTCTGTGGCATGCCAAGTTAACAATGTTAGATCATATTTTGTACATAATTTTTTTCTGCATAAATAGTAATAGACAAATTAATCTGATGTTTTAACAATGTTGAGTGGGGAAACATTCTCTTTACCTTGTCTGATAATACAAGGATATTGAAAATGAGAATGAAATCCTTCGATTAGTAGTCAGCATGTAACAGTAGTCAAACTCTTACTACTCTAGCAATGATTTTTGAATAATCGTGTATAAATGTCGCGTATACATTACAACGTGTATACAGATAGTATTATATTTATTTAGGACGTTCATATCCTGGGTAAGAAACAATTAGTTCAAATTTGTATATCATTCCAAAATTATGAAATCAAACATTCCATTAATTTAATTGACTAAAACTACTTTTACGGTAAAAAAAAATGTTATACATTGACAGTGTTAATAGAAAGAAAAATTGCTGAATTTTCTACGCGTATTTTTGTAATCAAGTTCTCACTACCCCAAATATAATTAATTTAAGAATTGGCTGTAATCAAAGACTTTTATATCACTCATATGTATTAACCATGCATAATAAAACCGATATTAAGGCATTACTATTTTCTCAATCACGATAAATAATGTATTTTAATACGAAATGTTAAATGTTTTATTAAAAATATTTATTTAAACGAATTTTGCATTGATCGTTCTCAATATCATGATCAACGAAACTCCAATTTTTATCATAATTGTATGGAAACAATACGCGGATCATTAATAGTGTATGTATTAAAATTAATTAAAAAAAGTGAAAGTTTATTATCTTCAATACTCGATAATTTAATAATTGATATTAAAAAGGTTTATTTTAACTTGTTGAACACGAATATAGATATGTAGTAAAATTTGCACTACTTACATTTAATAGTGTAGTAATATTTATTATGTATGGTTTCAAAGTTGTATAGAATTATTTAATATTATAATAGAGTGGCATAATACAACAGAAGTTCTTTTGAACCTAACTTTTTAATCTCTTAGGTAGAAGACAAAAAGAATTCTAGTATTCTGCTACTACGTCCAACTTAAGTGATCACTAGCATTAAATAATTTATTAGTGTATTTAAAAATCATGTAATCGTGGATACAAATTTTTATTACGAGTAGTTATAAGGTAACTCATGCTGTTTATTATTTGACTTCTTATTAATTCAGTGTTGTGTAAATGAGTTTATATTATACATATATTATATATAATTTAGAGTAACAAACTAATTCTTTGTACATATATGTATGTTAGAAGCATCTAATAATTTATTTACATCATTTAGAAGTAATGATGAATGAATTTTTTAGTTTGTTAGTGTGTGGATTGAAATATACTATTATTTGAAAAAAAAACAAAAAAAAAAACGAAGTACGTTTGCAAACCAGTGTATAAGATGATTATGTCAATATATTAAGAAAAAAAAAAAGTGTTAGACACTACGCATATAACGAAATTGCCACTCAAAACGAACTATAAAATCTCAATAATAATCGATCGTTAGCGTCCTGTGTTGCGTATTTATAATGATACCTTTATATCGTTTCTAATATTATACATTGTTCAAATCTTGATGCATATCTTTTACATTGTATTTTCAGCAATTAAATCTAGTCACTTGTATGTATATTGTCATACACTATAAACGTTCTCAATTATTCTTTAACAATAATACAAAGATGAAAATTATTTCTGTAGAAGAATTCATTCCGCTAATAAATCGATTATACTTCTCCCAGTTCAAACCAACTTAAACTCAACATATTATGTACATTCAGAAATAAATTACCAGTTTAGAGATAATGTAACAAAATTTGAAATTTGTGAAAGAAGAAGAGGAAGTTAAGATTAAGCCAACGTAAAGTTGAACGTAAATATGTTGTTCTAGAAATTGACTATCTATCCTGAATTATTCTGTTATCTTTTTTCCAATGGCCTCGATAACGATGGAAATCAATCGGGGCGAGCCTCCTGGTTTATTAGCATCACACGTTACACAAGTTTCTTTTTCGCGTGTTGTTTATGTTAATCGTTAACCAAGCCCACCTTTTTGATTCGCCTTAGGCACCAAGGCACCAATCACGTTTCGTCATCGAAATGGCGAGCCTCCGCAAATGGAAAGTTTTAAACTAACTTAAAACACGTTCAACTTTTATGAGAGTCACATAACATTTCCTCCCGAAAAATAACATATTATAATTAATAATAGCCCAAGTGTGCTATCTTTAATTTCTCAGTGCCGCAGTCTTAAACCACGTCTTGATTACATGTTTTGTGATACATGTGCAAAATTTTATCTTTCCATAACATTGCGAACTTATGAAAAACAGAAACAAAGGAAAACAAGTTCCTCTAGTAAAATATCATTATGCTTGCATCCCTATTTATACAAAATTAATACATAGACATTGTTGAAATTTATATTGAAATGAATACATAGACATTGAACAGGTGTTACTACACCAGTTAGAGAAATTTCTGTTCCTTAAAATTTTCTTTTCTGATTCACGTTGCATTATTAGCGTTTTTCAATGGCCCTATCGTATAATTTATTTTCAGAAACGAAATAAATCAAGAGAAACATCTAAACATTGTTGACCTGAACTTTTAGTAAGTAACAAAGGTACGGGCGAAAAATTCCCATTAATTCAATTATGCAAAGGGTTGAACGAAGATGTAAAAGGAATGAAAAAAACACTTGTAATAAACAAATTAGCGGACTTTATTCGAAGAAATGACATTAAACGTAACCGTTTCAGAAATGAACCCACAGTTAGGGATATATCATGTGATCGTGTCGTGTAACGATCTCGAAAAACCTGATCGCTACAGGTTAATTAGCATTATACGGGTGATTTACGCTTCGTGATTTTAAAGGAATGTGACGCAAACAAGCCTCCACGATCGACCAATCAATGATGGGGATGCCGAAGGTTAAGTTTGACGCGCTTATATTTAAGCAAGCTACATCTGCGATAACAATTACTAAAAACAAATCGTTAAGAGAAACTATATCGAAGTTCTCGCTCCTGTCGATAATTCATAATGGTAAGACAATTGTAAAGATGTTATTATACTAAACTTATTTTATCTTACAGTAGTATATTTATTTTAATTCGCTACGATTTTTTTTTCATTCAAATTCTCTATAATTTTGTTTGTACGTAAATGTTCCTAAATATAAACAGCTGAGTATGTTAAACAGGCGTCTTTAAAAATACATTTATCTAATATTTATTTTAATTAGAATACAATTAACTTTTAAATTAAATCTAAAATACATATTTTATCTCTCTTTCAGACTACATACACGGATAAAGGTCCGAAGGTAAGTTAAGTTATTATAAAACGAATGATAAAGTTAAATTAAACAGGAAAACTTATTATTAACATAATTTTTAAATTTCAGCCGTTAGGAGGAAAATTCTTGTGCGTCGATCATGTAACATTCTGGGTTGGAAATGCGAAACAGGTAATCGAAATAAGATACTATGGTACTGATAAAGTAATACTTTTAATGTTAAAAATATTTATCTAATTTTGTACATGGAAGTATTTTCTAATAATATTATATATTGTAACTATAGTTCCGAAGTTACTATATCACAGAAACATATTTCAAATCAACTATTTATCCCGCGGTAATTACATCTCTATTTGAAATCATGTTAATCATCTTTTTATTTAGAGTTACAACGATCATATTTCATGATCGTATCTAACATTATAATGGAAGAAAGTTAAGCAATTTGTATGCTATACTTATTTCATTTTGCATCAATAGTGCTTAATAATAATTTTGTTGGAAAATGATTTCAAAATACAATGAAATTCTCAATTTATTATTATAGGCTGCCAGTTACTATTGCACCAGGATGGGTTTTGAACGTTTTTGTTATCGCGGTTTAGAAACTGGTTCGAGACACGTGGCATCTCATGTTGTTAAACAAAATCAGGTATGTAAAACAAATGTTCATTATTCAATCATAAATTTTGCCTTATATTTAAAATACATCTTCGGTAGAAGAAACAAAGATTTGCTGTACGAATTGCAAATGCATTCATTTTTAATTGTTTAAGAGAAAAAAATACATATTTTGTGCAATTTACTTGCAGATTGTATTTGTGTTCGAATCAGCCTATGAACCTGATAACAAAGAAATAGGAAATCATATTTCGCGACACGGAGACGGTGTTCGCGACATTGCATTCGCTGTTGAGGACATTGATATCATTGTAAAGGTATATTAAGAAACTCACTTGCATCTACGTGATGGTAATACATTAATAATTTTATAGATCGCTAAACAAAGAGGAGCCAAAATAGTAAAGGACATATGGGAAGAAAAGGACAAATATGGTGTTGTAAAATTTGCCACTTTAAAAACTGTAAGTTGTTATATAACAGGAACGAAAATAAGTTAAATAAAAGTATTACTTTAACAAATATTACGTTTTACTTGTAAGTATGGAGATACAATTCATACGCTCGTAGATAGATCGAAATACAAAGGATTCTTCTTACCAGGATTTCAACAGCTATCAGCGGATAAGTTCGAAAATAATTTGTAAGTAACACGAAACGATACAGATTGTATTTTGAATAATGTATTAATTACTTATTAATAATTTGATAACTTATCAAGACCAAAAGTTGGATTAAATTTCGTGGATCACATCGTTGGGAATCAGCCTGATAAAGATATGGAATCTATTGCAAAATGGTGAACAAAATAATTAAAAATTTAGAAACCGTAAAAAAAAAAAAAAACAGTTTTATAACAAGACTTGCTTTATTTTAGGTATGAGCAATGCTTGCAGTTTCATCGATTTTGGTCTGTAGACGATACCCAATTACACACGGAATATTCTGCTCTGCGTTCTATCGTTATGACTAATTGGGAAGAGACAGTCAAACTGCCTATCAATGAACCAGCTCCTGGCAAAAAACGTTCTCAAATCCAAGAATACGTGGAATATTATGGAGGAGCAGGAGTGCAACATATTGCTCTTAATACCAACGATATAATTAAAGCTGTAAATTAAATACATTCGTAACAATTTCCTTTTAAATTCAGATAAGATCACTTTTCGATACTACACGTTTTCATTATTTTGCAGATACAAAATTTACATGATAGAGGCGTGGAGTTTCTAGATGTACCAGACGTTTATTACGATACGTTAAGAAATCGATTGAAGTCTAGTGGAGTCAAAATTTCAGAAGACCTTAATACGCTTCAGGTACCGATAACAAGACATTATTCACGGAGTAAATTGAACAAAAACGCATTAACATTAACGTTTAAATACTATGTTTCCAGAAATTGAAAATCTTAATTGATTACGATGAAAATGGATATCTTTTACAAATATTTACTAAAAACATGCAAGATCGACCAACGCTTTTTATAGAAGTCATTCAAAGGCACAATCATAACGTATGTATCACGGCAACTCATAAGATGAAATTAAAATTTACTTAAATCCTGTAAAGTTAAAACTATTCTGTATTAATTTTGCTTATGTATAGGGATTCGGAGCTGGAAATTTCCAAGCATTGTTTGAAGCTATCGAATCAGAACAAGCTAGACGTGGAAATTTATAAAATGATATGGACTGCAATAATACTAATTAAGATGTAATTATCTATAGGCAGTTTGAGTTTATGATAATTATATAATAAAATGTTATCATAAATGTAATGAAGAAACAATTTTCTTTTTACTTTTTAAATATATATTATAATTAAATTCGTTTAATGTTGCACATTGGAGAACAGAAACATTGCATTATTAATTCCAGATGTTGTATTTAATGGCCAATATCTGTTTTACAAAAATACACACAGCGTGAAGGTGTAAAATATGTAACAATACAATTTTAAGCATTATAATCGACCATTAAACTCAAATATCGTATAATACTATTCTATTGTAACGTGATGTCATATTGTAAATGTGTAACCAACAATAGGCATACTTGAAAGTTAGGAAACTCAAGAAAGCGAAATGATGATTAGACTGTGTCTATTTTTAACATTCTTTTTCTTTCATGGCCAAATATATAAGCAAATATTGTTCATATAAAAACTGCAGTATCTAGAAAGAATGGGATAATATGCGATGACAAAGGATATTAATGAGAAAGTAGCTCACTTATTTCAATCTGAGGGAAGTCCATGGCTCAGATAACTGTCTGCCATTATTCGTGATGAATCTGCAGACACATTTCTTCATGCAGTATCATGAATGCCAAGACGAAAGATGTCGTGCTGACAGAAGAATGAATTCCCCAGTGGCTTCAGCACAAAAATTTGTGAGAAGGCATGTGGTGGGTCTTCGTCTGCCTGGAATAAAAATATAAATATATATCATAGAAATATGTATGTCTAATAAATTACACTCGTAAGTCACGTATAAAATTAATTTTTATAAACATTAGTTATAAAACACTAATTGTGGTCAGAGTAAGTCACCTGCTCTGGCATGTAAAATATAGAAGAAAAATTATTTGTGGGAAAAATGTTTCCAATTAAATCATACAATTAAAATATTCTGAAATTTCAGAAAATGTACCTTGAGAAAAAAGTGACCTTTATCATATTATTTGTCCATTTAAGTCGAGCATTTCTCTCATAAAATATTTTTTCTTATCTTCAAAAACAACAGAGGTATTTTAGATTCCAGCGTTAAGCGACTTACCCTGTATAAAAATACATTGTTATATAACAAAATAAATTATAACCGAACACAGTCAACGACCTTATTAACAATCATGCAAAAATTATGCACATGTTCCATAAGTGTAATGAAAATAGACAAATTATGTACTACAATAATGAAACTTACCATAATACGCATGTTACTACTATCTATGTTTACTTACACATTGTAACTTTTACATCATTCTACCGATAAAATTAACGATGTCGCTATATTTTTATTTAAAAAAAATAATAACAAAACGATTAACATTATTCCTGTCAGTTCAGCAATTTAAAGTTTTTCATACGTTTGTATTTTCATTATCGAAAATATTAAACAAAAAGACACGATGTTCAAATAAATCGTAATAAATTTAAAAAATATAAACGATTTAAATTCATTGGTTTTAATAAAAAACAATTCAAGCAACCTTCATTATTGGATAAAACAACATTCTAGCCTCCGGTTTGAATTTAAATTGTTTATACTCCCAGTCCTTTTTTTAATTGTTTATAAACTGATGAATAAAAAAAATATAGATGATGTATTTCAAATGCTACAAACATATTTTTGAGTGCAAAATTTGTTATAAATAGTTATGTACCGAAACTAGTTGGTGCAAAGTAATAATTCTCTAGGGAAAGTAAATTGCATCATATACAAAAGCAGCATAACAACAAATGTAGATTTAAACGAGAGTTAATAACAAGCAGGCATATTGGCAACTGCAAAGTAAATTTAGACGCTAAAAGTTAGTATTTAGCTTGCCTGTACTGGTACACAGATCAATGGAAGATCAGTACCTGATGCCTAAACCGTGTCGTGCAGCGCAAGTCTGAAGATATCGTGCTGCACGTAAAAGCTGGTGCCAATAGGTTTCAGGACAAATGTCTGGATGTATGCATGGGGCTGATCCTCATCAGTCTGCCCAATCATCAACAATCACTGACTCAATTTTCTTATTTTCATCTTCTTTGCGGAGGTAGGTATATAGAGAGATTGTTGCTGGACATTAGTCTTAGCTCAATCTCTATCTTCATATGGCAGCACAAAAAATGTAAGGCAGTACAGTACACATTTGTGTAGCATGTCCAGCCAATAAAATATAACGTATAGACGAACACAAAGTATACCGATTAACAAAGTATTTAAAAACTGAGATATATTCAAAACCAAGTATTTTCTTTACTTAATAAATATCATATCGATTATAAAGAGGACCATGATAACGAGAAATTAAATTACTGAACCAATTGGAATAAGAATTTTGCACATATTGTTTTATAAAATACATGTCATGATGTAAAATTTTTATCATCTATACATATTTAGGTATAGATGTGTATATAGACAGTGAGTTGTGGAGATATTCGTAATTGCTCATTTGCTGAATAGTAATCAGAAATATAGGATTCGTATCACAAAGCAGTGGCTACTCTATAGTATGATATTTCTTGGTAACATTCCCACAAAGTTCTGGCGTCATGCCTATCGAGGACTTATGAAAAGATATAAAAGGAAATGACCAAGGAAGTAACAGAAATTTTTAGTACTGAGGCAACATATAATGTAATTTGACTTTGACAGGTCGTTAATATGACACTTATTTTAATTGAATATATAATTTTATCGTTAATAATACCACTGCATTTATCTTACAAAGTATTGACACTGAAGTCAATAGTTGAGAGAATATGAATACTTCTACTTCTCACTGTATATATATTGAGAGATTTTGCATACTTGTACATAAAATTTGAATTTGTTTAAATTATTTACATTGTAATTGTAACTGTAATAGTGAGAGTTATTCTTACCTGCAACCTTCCTAAAACATTAATGAGAACGCCACCATCAAACATTGGTTGGGAATCAATAGCAGTTATTATCCGATTAATTTTTTGAAACGATAAACTCTAAAAATGAAAAAGTTTGAATTAGTATAAAGGAAAGGCGAAATATATTTACGTGCACTTTTATTCTAGTTCCAGCTTCATAATTCTCCACATATGTAAACAATAGAATCGACCAATTCCATATTATTTCTCAGTAAGTAGTTTTAAGTTGTAACATACAATAAATTTAACATACGTTCTATTTTTCTATTGTAAATACTTACAGTTAATTTTTCCATGATTTTAATAGCACCCTGTATTTGCAAACCCTCAAACGTCATGAAAGATGACTCGGTCTGTAAACACAGACCCGAATGAATATACGAGAGGGAATCAACTTGGGAACTAAACGTAATTACAATTAGGACTTACATTATACATATTTATTAAATTTGGTCTCTGAGCAGGGTCGTCAAACAGTGCATAATACTGTTGTACGAAACCCTTTCCGATCACTTCATATTGTGGATTTAATGCCATTATGCTAATTTCCTATATTCACACCCACTACCCCGATACGAACACTATCAGTCTTATTCAATGATTCGAACGTTTCGGCACTTTTGTCTTTATAAAAATCCTACGATAAGAGTAAAATAACGTCTATTAACATCCCTCGTGCGAGACACAAGCGAGCAGGAAGCTACTTATGCCGACCAATCATTTCGATGTATCGAGAAAATCGTATGGGATTATTCTCGAACTCTCGAAAAGTTTAGATATTTGGGCAACGATTGTATTCATTTTTGCATAAATCTAACATTGTTACAGATTTACGAATTCAATTGATCGAATGTAATCGAAGATTGATCGTTTGTACATTTTAAAATTGTACGATTTAATTATATTAAGAGATAAAAGGAACCTTTTGCTTTCTATCGATGCCTTGTGCTCTGAACAAAATTCTCTACCGAGAAGCAATTTTGTTGAACGTCATTTAAAACACAACGTAGGATTGGTTTACTGTCATCGCCGGATATCTACCCATACGACATCTGTCGTTTGGATTTCGAATATCAAACGGTCTCGATTGAAAGTGAGGTTAACTTCCTTTTTTCCGGTGTGAAAAGCCGTGAGGTGTGTATATTTCTTACTTGTCGAAAGTAATCCAAAAACATCGGAAAATTGAAAAATAATACGTCTGTATACATGCCATTATATCAAATAGTAGACATTCCGATATTTTTCACATATTAAGCGTTTTTTTCCTTATCCATAACTTTAGTAACAGGTTTTTAAATATATCGACAAACATCCTGACTTTGTTTATGTTACAAAAAACGTGACGTTACACGTATCGTTTCGATTTTGTTATCGAAATTGCTAATTTTGTATATAATTTTACTTTCGAATTTCGGGGAAAAAGTAATTGTGCCATACAGAAGAGGTTATGTGACTCTTCTGAAGTGCAATGTTTACAACTGCCAATATATCGTGCTTCTTACATAGCGTAAAAGATAAAAATGAATTGTTAACTTAAATCATTGTATAAGTATATTCATGGATATGTGTGTGTATCGATTTTTAGATTAATAGTCATTTTTTTTTTAAATCTCTTTTTATAGTATACATCTTCAAGATGGTGAAGATTATGAAAGTATGGAAAGTCGTGTTGGTCCTTGGTGGCCGATACGCTGGAAGAAAAGGTATCATCATGCGTAATTTCGACGATGGTACTACAGAAAAGCAGTACGGACACGCAGTGGTTGTAGGGATTGACAGATATCCACGCAAAGTGCACAAAAGAATGGGCAAAGCGAAACTTCACAAACGTTCTAAGATCAAACCATTTGTAAAAGTAAGTTTTTCGAAAGCTACTTAAAATTTTTCTTTAACGAGTTTAAATAACAAAATAAAAAAGTATCAAATATTTAAAACACAAATGAGAGGATCATGATTAATAAATATGTACTAACACTTTGAATACCTGTATTTGTAAAAGTTACATTGATTTTATTCCAGGTATTAAATTATAACCATTTGATGCCAACAAGGTACACAGTTGAACTGCCCTGGGCAAAGAAGCCTTTAGTCCCTAAGGATCTTAAGGACCCAATGAAACGGAAGAAGACTCGATTTCAGATACGTGTTTTATTGGAAGAAAAGTATGTTTAATTCCTTCTTAATTACACAAGCTTTATACAACGCGAGCAGCAGTCTTCGTATAATATATTTGGTTTTGATCTCTGGATATTTTCACTTCAAAAAATTAGAATTAGTTAAAAAAGCTAGTAATATTTTACACATTCTTTTTTAATTGAAATATATTTAATAAATGTGTAAGTAATGTAAATATCTGTTTACAGGTACAAATCTGGTAAAAACAAATGGTTCTTCCAAAAACTACGATTTTAATTAATTTTAAATAAATGTAAAATACACAAATATTTTCAGAGTGTAAGATTTTTTAATCATCCTTTTGTGACAAAATTAATTAATTAATATTCTTTTATTAATATTGTGTTATTCAAAAGCATAATTCTAGTTTATTTTCAATTTGCAGTATTTATACATTATCAAGTTTTCTTGCTTGCACAACATACAAGAATAATAAATTTGTGTTATTGAAAATACTATATTTAGAAATCAGAATAATTTGATTGAATTATGATAAAAAAATGTTTTAGAAATGCGATACATGATTTATACCGGATTGCCAGCAATTCAAAGAGTATCTATAAATATATAATTTAATAAATATGTATTTAAGAAGTTGAAATGTCGTAATCTATAATGAATTGTCGTTACTACGAATTATCACTTGCTAAGATTTTTAATACGTTCATCCAGTGATTCTATATTATTTTTTATAACTTCTAAATTTGATGCAAAGCTTTCTTGTACTCCTTTTAGTAGAGATTTGTTACTTTCCAAATCAACGGTAATTTGCGATTGTAATTCTTCCAGTCGTACTAGAGATTTGTTAAATTCAGCAGCTGAAAACATGTATGAAAAAGTGTAGTATATGTCATGATAAGAAGTCATCATATAAATGTATTTAAAAACATACCTTGCTGATGAATTGTATTTAATGCCAACATTCGATTTACAGTTTGAGGCAACATTTGCGACATTGTTTCGGTTTGTTTCATGATTTCATACATTTCCACGATCTGAAGGTAAGTTGGAGTTTGATTTAAACACGTCACTTATTTTACTCGAGTCTATATTTATGAGTAGCAACATACCTTTTGCTCCTGTTCGGAATCTAAAGATAGCGTAGATTTTTTTTGCGCGATACTATCCATTCTATGAATTAAAGAAGCTAATCGATTTTCAATGATGTCTAACTGATACGTGTCTAATAATGCAGCTTTTGCTCCTAGTTCTTGAACAGCTTCCATTACACCTTGACATTTGAGATTCTGTCAAAAAATGTTCGTATTATTTATTTACTGTTGGAAGTAGTTTATTAATCAAACTAAGCGCAAATCAGTGTATTATAGTAAAAGGAATAATTGTCTCACACCTGTGAAAACTTGGAAAGTTTATCGGTAGTTGCTCCAATAACACTTTCCAAATTACAAAGTCTTTGTTCAAGTAATGCAACTCTTGCTGCTTCTTGCATTCTTGCTTTCTCTGGAAGATAAGTCATCTGATATTTGAGTACATTAGGTTCAGCTGTTTTATCAACTTTTGTACTCTGTGTCTTTGAATCAGATTCAGAGGTAAGAATACTAGTCTGTTTAAATGCTTGTATTTGCGATATCAGTTCTCTAAAATATCAATTAATAAAGTAAAATTTCAGATTGGGGCATTATTAATGTAATGTAAGACTTACTTCAGCTTTGTGCCTTGTGGATCTGATAGAGTTGCAACAACATCAGCACCAAGACATTCTTCTAATTTCAAGGAATCTAACTGTTTGCTTAGGTCTTGTACTTGAGAAATTATATCAATAATAGATTTCTCTTCTTTTTCACCTTCTGTTTTTTCCTATTTCATAGAAGTAATACATATTTCTATATCTTACATAGAAATGACAAAATGTGATTAATAACTCAATACCTTCAACTCATTTACTTCTTCATACAATTCTTTAATTTCGCATTGCAAACGTTGACATTTTTGAACTGGTGTTTCTTTTTCTCCTTCTGCAGGAAGATCCCAATCTCCAAATCTAACAATATTATATAATTTATATAAATTATTTTACACTGATTTATATAAAGTAAACTTACTTGTAGCCTGTTTTTGGTTTGAACGATACACAATCAGAAAAATCAATTCCCTCATTAATGACTTGTTTACCTTTAAATTTGTTAAATGCTTCCGTGGCGCTTATATGTAACTTTTCTATGGAATCGGTTTCTTCCTAAGAATGAGAACATTAACAGTAATAACAAGTAACTAAGGAATAATATTTAATGTTTTACCTCAGGGTAAATTTGAAATTGTTCGGATTCTGGTAAATCAGTTGTCTCGTATACATCGACTTGATCGTATGCCTATTTACACAAATAATATACTATTATAAAATGTACGAGAATTAGAAATAAATAAATACGTTTTGACGTAAGACATACGAAGTACTTACAATTCCAGGTAAATCGGCATATTTAGGATCAGCCATTTTTTAATAGATAAATTAAAAAGTATATAGCTTCTTAAATTGCAATTTCGTATAACGCAAGAAACCTTGCGTTCCACTAACAAATGACAATAAAAATTTAGTTCGAAATATCAAGATTGCGAACGAAGATAGCAGATTGTCAGTGAACACCCAGTTTTACGATAAACAAGACGATTTTACGTATTCGTTTTCATTCATACGCGACTTCCACGGCATCTTCCAAGGTGGACTTGAACTATGGAAGAAACCGGTAATTTTGCATGAATGTTTTTCTCATGGACAACTTTACGTGGCCTTTTCGCATTCCACGTCGAAAAACTATTTTTTCCTGTTGACGTTGAGGTCTGTAAGATCTTATAGGGACTCAGTTAAATAAAAACATTTGGTAGAAAATTTAAAATTGCTTCTAGGCGAAGCCGAAGCAGGTCGCTAGTGAAAAATAAATTACATTGTAAATTATATTGAGTAATTTAAGACCCTTAAATTTAAGACCCTTAAATTACTCAATAGTATCGACTAATACTTCTAATGAACTATAATTTAATTAAATAAAAATAAATTCAAATTTCCCGCGTGAAGTTGGTGTCGTCGTCTAGCGGCGACATATCGAACTATTTAAGGAGTTTGGTCAGCGCCTCTATCGGGAAAACGACCAAGTTTGTCCTCGAACAGTTCCTTTTTATGCTGCTAGATGGCGGCATTTACTGTGTTTTTTACCGACCTGTCGAACATTCCCATAATATCGGTAAAAAAAACTGTGGCTGATACCTGAAGGATCTCTTTTACCGACTTTTGTTCCGTTTGTCTTTTTAAATTGCTGTTTGATTATTTTTAATTAATAAATTGCTTTCTAGTTGAACAATACGTGTAATCATTAAAACTTAAGGATAAAACCACTTATATTCTAAATATATTTTTATTATAGTCCCAAGTGCTATATTAAGAGTATCTGTGGCGCCATCTTACAGAAATAATGGGAACTATTTTCACTACAAACTTGAGCGTTTTGCCACCGATGGCGCCACTTACTGAAATATCGATAATTATTACTGCATTAAATAACTACTAATAAAAATGAAAATTTGACGCGTTAACTAATATATTGTAGTGTCATAAAGTAGAGAATCGTATTAATTATATATTTATGACTGTTCACTATAAATTTGGAGGTTTTGAAGCCCGGGGTACTCGTTAAAGTTCTAAAATTAGTTCGTTCCATTGGCCGCGAGATGGCGATACCGAATTGTGGTCCATGGTCTCGTCCTTCTAACACAATCTAACATCTCCTTTACACTTCTTGACATTTCCTAACAGCTCCTAATACACACTAACAACTTCTACCACCCTCTAACACCTTCAAACACTCTCTATCGTCTCCAAACACCCGCTAACACCTTCCAACGCCCCCTAGTATCTCTTAACAACTCAAACGGGCTCCAGACAGATCCCTTTATTTCTCTTCAATTTCTAGAATGTTTCCTATTAATTTCCCTCCTTTCCCTGACACATCTCTTCGCTGTTCATGAGATCCGGATACAATAGGTAAGTTTCGACCCAGAATAAAAATTATGATACCTTCTCGATCAACACGATTAAGTATCGTTATTCAATTAAAAGTCATGCACACTTTTTATTCTCGTATCAGGCGAACATGATATGCGAGGAGGTGGCACGAGGAATTCATGGTACGTATTGAAATTTGGAAAGAATTTTACCCCTGGTACCGGGAGAATATAATATGCGAAAAGGTGACACGAGAAACCTTTGGTACGTATCAAATTCTTGAATTTTACATTTTGGTATCAGAAGCACATGATATCCGAAGAGGTGGCA